TTCTTATCCCTGTTGCTGCTTTGCGGTAAGGAAGGGAATTACGTTACTATAAAAAAGTATTTTTTGTACATTAGTTCATTATTGTAATTTTTTTTAAACAATATCTCTCATATTTAAATATTATCTTAAAATTTTCTCGTTGGCAGTTTTTAAAATAGTTGTGTCACTAAGTTGTTTTAGATTAACAAGTTGTGTTAATTTAAAACAACTTTGTGACGCTTTTTATACAGTTAATAACGTTACTACCATAAAACGTGTTTATAATTAAAACAAAGTAAATAAATAGAATTCTAAATAATAAATTAAAACAATATTGTCAAAAAACTTTAGCTTCATACTTGCGCAAAAATATGCATCTATAGACCAAACAAGTCTATAGACCAAACAAGATCAAGGCAAAAAAACATGCTTAAATTATTTTTTTGGAAAAAAGTTTCTTTGAACAAAATTAAAATAATTTATTTTGTTTAATTCAATTTTTAGTTTAATAAAAAGTTTCTACTTTTAAAACTATTTTCAAGAAGCACAAAATAATTAGTTAAAATGCTTACATTTAAATAAAACTTTCTTCTTCACTTGCACCATGTTCTAAATCTAATATTGTTTAACTTTCAGAATTGCTCCTCCCTATGCCACTGGATATTACAGACGTTGCTGCAATTAAATTTATAAGTATTGAGCGATAAAATTTGTTTAAATTTTTCCTTTTTTTTTTTAATTTCAAATTTCAATTGTAATATTATTTGAATAAGAGAATTTTAGAAGACTAAAATAAATTTCTTTTTTAAAAAAATTCCTAAAAAACAACTTATGTATTTATAGAAAATGTTTAAACTTGATATCACTTTTACTAGAATAAAAATATTTAAAAAATTGTATCTAGGTTTTCATATTCTATTTGAAATTACTTGTTAAAATAGTTTTTAGGTTAAAGCTTATTATGTGTTAACAACATAAGATATAAATAAAAACATTTGTATGGCTAACTTTGGCTAGTCTTTAAGTATATTAAGTATATTAATTAGTTGAGTAACCTAACTGTAGCAACTAAAATGGTAATTTTGATTTAGTTTATAGGCAAATTTACTGTGATGTACTTTAAATCCACAAGTAAATCAAACTAAATATAACATGAAAATATTGTTGTCTTTTATGTAGAGATTTAAAGTAATTTAAGTTCAAAAGCGTTAAAAATGTTAAATTAAAATCTCTGCGCAAGAGAGCAAGTGATCAATCATATTTCTATTCAAAAGATAAATTTATGATAACATACTTTATAAAAATAAAAACTTAGGCAAAAACTTTTTTATTAAGAATAGTAAAAAAAAAAAAAAATAATAAATAAGAATAAAAAAAAAAAAAGAAAGAAAAAAAAAAAAATTATGAAAATATTTTTTTCTTAGAAAAAACTAATTGCAAAGGTGTGAAAAACAATCGCAATTCTTGATACGCTTAATTCGAGCCCTGTTGTAATTAGTTGTATAAATTCTTTTTTTTAACTTTCACAACTTTTACACATCCATCTTTGCCTTCAAAAGCTTCCGTAATTCTAACAAGCAGCCAATGTCCTCTGGGTGTATCAGGAGAAATTACTAGTACAATGTCATCCAAGCCTTCCCAGGAAACAATTTTCAGGTTTTGATTCCTATGTTCAACAAGACATAGATAAAATTAAGATGATCCAAAAAAGAGCAACCAAACTAGCACCTACAATTAAAAAATTATTATTATTATTATTGTTGTTATTATTATTATATACTTGTTACATTAAAATTATACAAATATATTTTACAAACAGATGGTAATTTATATTTTTGTTTTCCTCTTTAAAAAACAAACAAATAAAATATAGGAAAATCATTCTTTTTAATGCCGACTTGAAACTATTTTTTTTTATATATATATATATACTTTGCCTTTATAAATTTGTTGCTGAAAATAAAAACCACTCTAAAGAAACAAAAATAAAAACAAATTATTTAAATTATTAATTTCATTTTATTGGTTTCTATTTAAATTTATTTTAATTTCCTATTTAGTTTTGCTTTTTTCGTTTTTGAAACTTAGTTTTTTATGTAATGATTAAAATAATAAAACTTGCAAACGGCCGGGACCAATTTGTCTAGAATAAAATACTCATGTGTGGTTATGCAAGACAAAAAATTGCACGCGTTTCCTGGGAAGGCTTGTCATCTGTTTTCATTTTGCACTTTTCTTGATTTCATTTATATTTTTTAGATAAAGATAGAAGCCATTCTCGCATTCACGGTTTCCAAAAATGATGTAGTAGTTCTTGCACTCGGTACCAGTGTTTTTCAGGATGATAGCCTTTAGGTTGAACTAAGTCAGGTGTGAATTGTCTTCCAACTTGCCCAATCAAAAAATGATTTGGAGTCAATGGAATATCATTTTTTATATCAGCACTCCAATACATTAATGGGCGAGAGTTCGATAAAATCTTGGCTACTGTAAATGCTGTATAGAGTTATTTATCAATAATATCAGCTTTTTTCAAGTATCCTTGTTACTGTAGGTTTGAGAGCTTTGACCATTATTTCAAATACACAGTAAAGATGAGGTTCAAGTGGAGCATTAAAGTGCCACTTGATTCTTTTATTAGGTGTTGAGTTAGTAATTCTATCCTTTTCCAAGTTGTTGACAAGTTCTTTTATTTTTCGTCATCCTCCAACAAAATTTGTTCAATTTTCTGTTAAAACTTCCAATGGAAGTTCTCCTCTATTCACCATTTGATAAAAGGATAGATTATAAGCCCGTACTACCATGGATTGGGTTGTTTACTAGCAGAAGCAGTACATCTCGAGATGTACTGCTAGTGATAATAAATAGGTAAACAAGCATAAGTATCTATTTTGTTGTATCTTGCCTCTAACTTGCACAGTAAGAAATGGGCTAGCAAAATCAATACCAATTCTAGCAAACACATGTAGTGGTTCTTTTAAGGACATTGCTGGTAAGGGGCCATCAGCTGTTGAGCAGATTTACATCTTAATTTATGTTTGTTACATTTTGCTTCTGCATCTTGGATTTCTTCTCGTCCATGTATGGACAAGAAGAAATCCAAGATGCAGAAGAATATAGCAACATTAATATATATTTTTAATATATTTATGATATAATTCAACTCCTACTTTTTCATCAACTACAGAAGTTATTGTGTTGTGCATAAAGTTGTTTCAGGAACAGTTTCAGAAGGCAAAGGAAATTTTTGTGCATACTTTCCTGTGTGTTGTTGCGATACATTTTGAGCCATTAAAGGTGCTGAGTTGATTTCAAATATCAGTTGATTAAACTGAAACACCTCAGGCTCAGCAGTTGGATACAGGTTTCTCCATAAAATTCATTGGAACTTTTGGTCATCTTCCAATTTGTATTCCAATTTTTAAATACATTTCTGCTATATCACAAGCTAAAGCCACTGGATATTTTCGAAATCTTAGCAAAACTGTCACAAGATCTTGTTGAAATTTTGGACCTTGATAAATAACATTATTAATTTATTTACCATTATATTTTGCAGATCCATCAAACACAGTTCTGACTATTGTAGTTGATTTATCAGGACGGAGAAAAAAGTTTTTAAACACTTCTTTGTAACAAAAAACAAAAAAATCAAGCAATTAAATCATTCCATTGCAATGGAATAATTTAACTTATTCATTATTTATAAAAAGAATTTTTAAAAGATTTTTAGAAAGACATGGAAAAATAGTTTCAAAGGTTTAAATTTATTATAGAAAATAAATGCTTACATTAAAAAAATTTTAATATAAAATTTTTTGTTAATTTACTTAAAATGTGTTTATCTTAAACAATCATTATTGTTTTATTTTATTTAAAGCTATCAAACTTTAGAAAAGATAACGATTTAAAGTTATTCATAATGTAACAATATTTTAAATTGCATTCAAATTATTTAAATATCAAAACAGCCATGGTCAAGTTGTAAAGAAAAAAAATTATAAGCGTGGTCATTTACAGCATGTAATACAAACAGTATTTAAAAAACAAAAGATTTAATAAAATGGCAAATAGGCTTTAATAAAATTTCTCTTTCTTTCGCTTGTTATAGTATATGATATCTTTATATATGTTATGTATATAACATATATAGAACTTCAAAACTGTTTTATTTTGTATTTAAATTATTTTGTTTTTAAAAATCAAAAAAGATTTAAAAAAAAGCAAACGGTGGGATTCAAACTACTGCACTTTACATCAGAAACACTGCGACCTAACCACTTCTGCCATTTAGGTGTATTATATTACAAACATTTTAACAGTATTTAATAAACAAGAGACTTTATAAAATAGCAAATAAATATTATAAATCAAAATTAAGGAGATATTGCCGCAATGCACTATTTAAACAAAAGTTAAACTATAAAACTTGATATATTTTATTATTACATAGTTTAAAGTTTACAAAAATTAAATATTTGTATATACTTTCATTCACGTTTTCTTATAAAAAAAAGTGCTGCAACTCTTTTTTGCTATTATTTTGGTTGCAAAGGCTTCTGAGAATACTGTGTCAATCACTCATGAATGAGCATTGACATGTTGCTTGATATGACTAATTCAAAGTTTTTATTATATCGAGTCAACCCTCGAAATTAAGAAAAATGAGGTCAGCAAATTATTGCCGACCTCAATCTTTAAAGGTCAACATCAGGTCGGCAAAAAAAATTTGATACCAAGGTCTCACCATAAAACATAGAAACGAGGTCGTCAGTTTTTTGCTGACCTCAAACACTTTTAGGATGGCAGTTAAGTCAGCATTGCTGAATGCGGACCCTAATTCTGAGAGCTGTAGAGGTGTGATCATATCAGTTTCATTATTTCTAGTCCGAGGCCATGAATTGAGGCATTGAAAAAATCTGGTCCTAAGTATACAATCTTCCCCTGTTTAATAAATGTTAAAAAAGATTTCAAATTTGAAAGTTTATTTGTTATTCAATTAAATTATTTTATTTTAATAGGCATTTTGAATTTCAACTCAGAAATGCAGAAGGTGATTTAAATCAGCTGGATGTTTGGCACAG